ATATATATATATATATATATCGAGACGGAAGAATTCGGAGTGCTGCAGGAAAGATATTTTGTACATATGTATCTAAAAGACGCGGAACAGATTTGTGACGTGCTAGTTAGATTATTGCCAGATTAGTATCGTGCCAAATCCGCTGAATAAATATAGTAGTCATAGGCAAGATAAATGTCATGTACAAGATACTTTACATTTCGAATTTCAAAATCTCGTTTTCTCAAGGTAATCGCTAATTTTTATCATTTCCTTAAAAAAAAAAAAAAAAAAAAAAAAAAAGAAAAAAACAGCTAACGTCCACCTGATAATAAATATCACCGCACGTCGAGTTGTGTTACCGTCACATGAGCGCAGATTATACCAAAATATTTCTATTTTGCTAATTCCACATTATTTTCTAAAATATTTTCGTTGAGAACACACACTTCCGGAACTTGATCTTTCCTGTATGTACAGCGTATTTCCTGGCGCTCCTAGTCTCCACTTCTTTGCTAACGGGTAACAAACATAATGCTTATCGATCTCTTGAATCGTTTAATATCAGTTTTTCAAAAATTCGATTCAATTCGAACAGATGTTAATTTATACATTGTTAGTATATATTATGTATATCACATGACCTGGGATATTATTATCTGTACGGGATGATCGATAATCGTAACGCAGCCTTTTTGTTTTATAAATTTTTAAACGTTCCATGGAGATCTAAGGAATAAATTTTTAAGTGCACGTTTAGTCGTAGTAAATTATTAGTTCCATTAGATTACGAGAAATTTGATTTCAATCTTTTGTATACGCCGTATGTAGGAGAGTAATCTAATTTAAGCGAACAACGTCAATTGCTTCGATTCAATTAATAATATAAAAATTGAATTAAATTGCATTTGACATAACTTCCTTCGATTAACTCTATGTTAAATCAAGTTGTTTCCTTTATTTTTACCAATGTGATTATTCCTGGCAAATTCTCTTCTTTTTGAATATCCTTACAGAAAAAAACCAAGGAACGCAATCAATTTAAAAAAAAAAAAAAAATTTTATATACATATTGTCTCACATCGGTCGATTTAGCTCCGCTTAGTAATATTTGTTCAATCTGATTCATCGATTGTTACACACGTTTCATCGAGCGTATACACGAGAATCAAGATGTATCATCCCTTTCAGATGCATCCGGCTTGATTTGCAGATTCTTTTAAAGAAGCAAGCCACGTCAATGGACCTTCCACCACCCTCATCGTCATCGAACGACGAATACTGTTCTTGTCCCGTCTCTGTTCTTCTTCCTTTTTCCTTTTCTCTTCTTTCTTTTTCTTCTCTTCGCCGAACGCCGCGGTTCTTTCATAATTCTAGCTTCACCAAGCATTACGCGAGCGTCACGCGTTGAGGCTAACTTATGTGATACTTGACACACTGCTACCAGCGATAACGAGCCACCTGGAACGAGACTAACGAGCATCTCACATTTCGTACGATGTATTCTGACGTTAGTGACATAGTACGCGCGATACGTCTATGTTAGATGAATCACTACACACCTCGGTATTGTCATCGCTCTCCTCGCTCTCATCACAGAGTTGTCGCGGGGGAGGAGCTTTCTTTTCCGCGGAAGAAATCGCCTCCAATTATTCGGGCTGTGATTAAATCGATCGATCGTTCGTGGCGGATGTAACGCGATCGATTGTAATAATAAATCGACGCGGAATTGCATCGTGAATTGTAATTGATTTCGTAGCTGGCGACATTATAGCTCGACGAGTCGTGTCGTTCGCGAATAAGAGGCACGTCGTTGTTAAGAAACGTTTTATTGATACAACGAATTGAATGGTAACGTCGATCGGTCGTCGTCAACACGTCAATTGTTATTCTTATTTTAATGTTGCAATCGCGACAACGATCACTTAGGTTGTCTGTTATCGCAGATATTATTATAGTCAGATATATTTCACCGATCAACGATCCGAGATTCACGAGGTAGCGATACGAGTTTATTTAAAGCTTATCAGAAATATATAGAAATTTGTCATTGAGTAGAAGATGATGCTGATTTTTGACGATTTGTCGTTGGATAAGAAATTGTTAGATTATTACTTAGATCAAGAATTCTGAACTTTGCTTACATGTTCGAATCGTGCTTCGAGACAGCACAGCACGATTCACGTTATCATATTGAATTTAATCTACAAAGTAATTACAAAAGTAATTACCTCGAGAGTTATGTTAATATCTTCATCATTCTCGCATTCGTTATTCTGTTCTATCTTCAACTAAGCGTCATTTCCGTTTGTTTCTTTGCATATACTTACTATTACACTGCACAGAACGGGTATTACTTTGTCGGAAAAGCATGTTAATATATACAAATGTATTCTGTGAGATATATGAAAAGACGACAGGCGCGTCTTTCGACAGCCACCGGTCGTCCTTGTCACATCGACTTATACTTGTTGGACTGTGCATTTCAATCCTGTTTCAGAACGTCTTCTCACGCTAATTCTCGATGCAACCTGTTTCCATCTCGCACGTTCACGTACACCGTCTAAATCAGTTGTTTGCCGAACGATTGTGCGAAACATTCTACGGCTGATGCGGCCGATCATTAACAATAACTTATGCGCCTGTCAGATAAGTGGCTTCACGTTTACAGCATCAGATTTTCTGCAAACTCTTCTCTTCTCCTTCTTTCTGTTCTTCTTTTCTCCTTTAGCTTTCATTCGAACATTACTACGATTCAACGACGAAATCCTTTTTGAATCCAATCGAATGTTCGAGTTATATTAGAAGGGATGTACATGTATATTAAAGTTATGTACAAGCTATATTTACGAGGGTGATTGAAGTTCAGATCATCCTCGGAAATTTATACGAGACGCCGAGAGACCAAGTCATTTTCTAATTTGCTCCAATAGAACCGTTGTTAATCACAGCAAAGTGGAGTGACTCGTTTCTTACGAAATCAAATCCAGAAATTATTGTATTCTGCACTGGTGTCTGTTTTGAACATTAAATTACTCGATTTCTCAAATCGATCACTTATATTATATAATGTAACATATATATATATATATATATATATATAAAATAATTAGATAATATTATATATACATGTATATTTTTTGTGATACTTTCAAGAAAAATCGTTATTCATCTCTCGTCATAATTATTGGCTCACATTTTTATCACATCCGATGTCCGATTCATCCGATGTGTTTGCTAAGCATCTCACGTGCTAAACTCGCTCTCTCTCTCTCTCTCTCTCTCTCTCTCTTTAATTTTATCATTAGGTTTCGTAGCACGTGTAAAAGCATAACACATGCGAAATGAAAATAGACTCACTGCGCCTCTCTGTTGCACCCATAACCTTCGCTGCATGTTTGCTCACAAGGTGCGTCTTAAAAGCCTTGTAAACACCGGTTGATCGCATGTCTCATTTGCCACGGAAAGAAAAATCGAACTCGCTGCTCGGTGGAAGTTGATTTATCCGCAAGATGACTTCCCGCTAGCAATAAGACCAAATCTCAGCTGCTTGTTGAGCCACTTTCGTTACGTGAAAACGTGCCTTAATTGAAGAATATCCGTGGAAACAGGTAATCGTTAATTATTTGTAAGATTGGAGTATGATGATCTAGTCTTGAGAAGGATACAGGCTCGTCGAATAATTTGTGAAACAATCAGTTGATAATGTGTTAACGATTAATCGTGCTGATTTTGGTGACAAAATGAGTTACAAATTATTGTGAGAAATTAATTGTACATTATTATAAAAGTATCTTGAGATTTTATTCAGCACCATAACGAGATCGTCACGATTATTTGAAGCAAAATATTTAATGAAATCTTGGTTGGTGATAAAATCAGTCATCCGTCGAAATATAAATATATTCAGTCGAATTAACCAGGCAATTTGTCGCTAAATTCTCTTTTGCAATAGATAATTCCTAAAAAATAGCTTCCAATATAAATCGTTTCGGTTTCGATATTTCAAATCGTCGTTTCTACGAAACTTGCGTCTCATGCTATCCGTCACGATGTTGATGAAATTTCCAAAAAAAAAAAAATACTGTAACTATTAACTGTTATAATAATGTATAATGCATTCAAATCTTCCTGGTGAGTCACTGTAACACGTTCAACGTTTACGACGGGAATCATAAGCCAGGGAAATCGAGCGAGCCTTCTGTTAAATAAAGTTAATTTCTCCTTTCCCCTCCCCCTAAAAAAAAAAAATCTCCATTCCATTTTTCCATTTTCCTCGCTTGATATCGTATCTGAAACGACTGGTTGAATTAATAATGCGTCCCGATCTGACAATAAATCTCGCGACTCGAACAAGTCTCGTCGACCTCGTTCGGGGACCTCTGAAAGATAATCCGCACAA